ACTAGTGGCAGAGGTGGAATTATATATTCCACTCGATACGGTCCTTTCCAGGAGTTGTGGAACGTCGTATCTTGTCCTGGTGGCGGTTTGGGTTGATGCAGCCACACATAGTCCCCGACTCGGCATGTTGGTCCCCGTGTGCTCATGTTGTAGCTGCTCTTTTATCGTTGCTGAGCCAGCTCGAGTTGTTTGTGTGCTAGGCGGTGAGCGGAACATAAGTTGTTGAGAAGTTTACGATTGTATGTCAGCAGGTCGACCGCATCCTTGGGGGCCATGGGCGTCAGGACTTCCACGGGCAGACGTAATTCTCGGCCAAAGGTTAACTGATCCGGTGTAAATCCCGTGGACGTGTGTCGTGTACTCCGGTACGCCAGCAGGCACCGTGGCAGCGATTCGTCCCTTTTGTGGCTGTTCGACTGTTCGACGAATGAGCGCAAGATCGTTTTGAGCGTCCGGTTCGTTCGCTCCACCAGTCCATTACCTTCAGGGTGATACGGAGTGGTCCTCGTTTTCCGAATTCCGAGAAGGTTACACAGTTCCTTCAGCAAGTGGCCCTTGATCTAAGTGGATTATGGCGGGTATGTCGTATCGTGATATCCACTCGTCAACAATGGCCGCGGTGATCGTATGCATTTCTTGATTGGGCATCACGGTTGCCTCACACCACTTGGTAAAGTAGTCTACCATCGCCAGGATATAACGGTTGCCCTATATTAGTGATGGGAAGTGGGCCTATTAAGTCTACTCCAACCCGACTGTTAGGGCCTCCCATTGCGATCGATTGCATGGTTGCATGGTGTCATTGATGGTTTTTTCGAGCCCTTGTTCCTGGCACATACCTCATATTGGCTGCAAAATCTAATGACGTCCTGGCGAAGTTCTGGCCACCAATATCGCTGAACCATTGCGGCGTGCGTTCGGTACTGCCCTGGATGCACAAGTTGATGATGGGTTCTTTTGATTAGTTGCTGCACCTTGGCCCGCGGAGCAACAATTCGCAGTAGATCGCCTTGTTCACGGATCTGTAGAACTCCGTTAATGATCTCCAGCTTCGCCCACTCTGAACATGAAGCACGCTCGTCATTAGGGCGGCCGTTCATCTCCCTACCGGACGGCTCGATTCCGTTGCTCAACTGTCGTTTGTAAAGGAAACAGATGTACGGATCATTGATCTGGGCGTTCTTCCAGTTCGACTTGGCAGACGAGTCGATAAACACCGCAATAACCTGAACGTGTGGGGGAAACCTCGAGAGGGCGTCCGCGTTGGCATGACTCTTCCCGCCCCTTTAGGTACAGTCGAAATCGTATTCTTGTAACTTCTCCAGCCACCGAGCCACCTGAACTTGCGGATCTCGAAAATTACGCAACCATAACAATGCCTGATTTTCGGTTCTTACTCGAAGCGGTCTCCCGAGAAGATACGGCCTGAAATACTGTAGGAAGTGCACTAGGGACAGGAGCTCTTTCCGGGTGGTGATGTATTTTCTTTTCGGGTTTATCCAACCGGCGACTGGCAAACCCAATGACCCTCTCTTCCCCATCAGGTGACACTTGGGAAAGAACAGCCCTTATCGCCGAGTAACAGGCGTCCGTGTCCAACACAAATTTCCCGGCTGCCGGCGGTGCCTGGGAGGGCTAGTACTGGGGTGGTTGACAGGTTTCGTTTCAGTTGTTCAAACGCATCGCTGCATTCCTTGGCAAACTGAAAAGGGCGTCCTTTTTCTGTCAATCTGTGCAGTGGTGCGGCAATCTTCGCAAAACTCCTGACGAACCTCCGGTAATACGACACGAGCCCCATAAAGCTAAGGGCTTCGCTGGCACTGGTTGGTGTCGGCCATTCGGTTATTAGGTGAGTCTTCTCTGGATCTGTGGCTACTCCCTGTCGAGACCGATTATGGCTCAGGAACTTGACTTCTTTCTGCAACAGCCGACATTTCTTGGCCTTGAGTCTAAGGCCCGCGCTTTTGAGCCTTTTCAACACTAGATGAAGACGTGTGTTATGTTCCTCGATTGTGAGGCCGTGAGTTATGATATCGTCCAAGTATATGAGGCAGCTTTTTGGCACGACGTCCCGCAAAATTTGATACAGCAGTCTCTGGAACGTCGCTGGAGGATTAGACAGTCCGAAAGACATGGTCTCTAATTCGTATAACTCGTTAGGGATCACAAAGGCTGTCTTCGACCGATCTTCAGGAAAGGCTTCCACTTGCCAATATCCTGCGGCTAAATCAAGGGTTGAAAACCAGGCAGTACCTGCGACGGCGTCTAATGTGTCATCAATTCGCGGAAGGGGAAAATAATCTCTCTTAGTAACTGAGTTAAGCCGACGGTAATCGGTATACATTCTCAAGGACCCGTCTTTTTCCTTCACGAGCACTATTGGTGACGCCCATGGTGCGACGAGGGGCGGATACCACGTTGTGCGAGCATGTCCTGTATCATGCTCGCGAGTTCCGTTTGATAGTGTATTGGAACCCTCCGTGGTGGTTGGTATATTGGTGGGTTCTCTCCGGTGTTGGCATGACGTTGTAGCACACGGGTGTGTCCCAATTCCTCACAGTTAATATCAAACATTGCCGCCATTTGGTGGACTATTTGTGTGACCTGTTGTTTCGAACTCATGTCGGCATCAGAACCCACCAACACCTCCGCAACCCATTCAGGTTTGTCTTTTACGAGTGGTGCTACTGTCAGACCGAGGGCTAGCCTGTATTGGTCTAGATGGAGTGATTCGTCGTCCAGATCAATGATAGCTTTGTGTTTGAGTAGGAAATCCATGCCCGACAGAACCCGCCACGGTGTTTCTGCGCATTCAAATTTGTGTGTCGTCGAGAACGCACCCAAAACCACATTGCACGTTGTGTAACCAGTAGAAACTAGATGTGCCCCGTTAGTTGCCGTCAGTCGAAGGTGCCCCTCGCCGGAAAACGACGGTCGCGCTAACGCTGGGTGGACGATAGAACAAGCAGCCCCGGATTCAACTAGAGTCTCAGTGTACATCCCGTCTACAATTCCGCGTACAGTCAGTGGCAAACCAAACATTTTAGAATCAGTCAAAATGGAATGCAAAGTAATGGACTGGTATGCAGACTCACCGAGTCTCCCTATAGGTGCGTTGTGGCCACAGTGCTGTGCACGCACTCCAAACTTCTGGCAGTGTCTGCAGCCAGGTTGTGGCCGTGGACGTGTTTGTGGTCTCATTGTGAACGTTGGCTGTCTCGTCTCAGTGGCTACAACAACCGTAACGATCCTGTCATGCGTTTCCCGAAGGGCTTTTGTGGGTGCCTCTCGAGTACGGGATTTGTGAAGTGCCGATGTCAGACTCCGTGGCACTTTTTCCAGGAATCTGGCTTTAATGATGTTTTCGGAGACTTCCACAATAAAGAGCTGCTGGATCTGGCAATCGCGCTCCTCCTTAGACACCGTTGGGTACGCTTTGGTTGCCAGTTGTCGGAGGACGGTTGCGTACTGGTCAATCGATTCAGCATGGAGTTGCTTCCTCGTGAAAAACTTCTCGAGGAACACAGGTGCTAATTCATGACTGGAGAACAATTCGTGAAGAGCCACCCAGATCTCATCAGGAGCAGACGTTATAGGCGTCCCCGAGGCTAGGAGCTGGCGGGCGGCGTCGTCGTTAAAAACGGGAAGGATGCACTGTCCAAAGTGTTCAAGGGGAACATGTTGCAGGTATGTTTGAGCACAGAAAGCCCAAAATTGGAATTCATCATCCGGGGAGAATGGTTTGGGGTCGGAGACTGTTGGGCGAATAAAGTTTTCAGTAGTTGTGGATTCGTGTTTAAATCGTTTTTCCATTTTCGTATAATTTCGGGTGGGTCGTAGTTTTCGATTGTTTGAATCCCACCGCTGCCACCAGTTGTAATAGACTGCTTCTGACGTATTAATCGAACTCTGAATCTGAAACGAAGGAACGACAATCCAAGGCAGCAGTTAGTTCCAACAGGCGATCACACAACCACGGTCGGTTATAGTCACTACTCACAAGAACGAACGCTTGGAGACTAATGTTTATTAGCGAATCTCGGGGGGCGGCGTCCCAACCGAGCGAAACACGGAAGCGATACACGAACACACACGTGCCGTGAAGCAGGGAAAACAAGAGAGAGACCAACGGGGGAGGGAGAGTCCGTTCAAACGCGGATCTCAAGTTTGGGGTCAAAGGGTTCAAATATTGTCTCCCGGCTGTGATTTTTCTGGTCCCGTCCGTCGATTATGTGCGGGACCTGAAATGGTACAAAAGGGAAATATTAGAAAGCGCCAATTGAAAACCCTACGTTGCGGTTTCTGTCCTATTACAGGCACGTTTTTCGAAACGCGTATGAAGCCAATTTTCGAATGTAATGTTAGAACACGGGAGCCAAACAGAAGGAGCGCAAAGTCAAATAGTCGCTGGGTAGAACGACTCCAAGTTGCCACATCTCTTCATCAGTACAGATTGGGAAATTCAAATCACGGTGGAAAGCACCGCACATTTAGTTCAGGTCAGGCCCGGTCCAGTTTAGCTCAGTTCAATATGCACCGGATGAAATGTGGCTTCCAGCCAATTGAGCGTCCAGAATGTCGTGTTTTTGACGGGTGTTTGTAGCTTCTGACACTGCATATTGCCAATTCCAGCGATTGACCGTTGGTGGGTCTAGTTGTCTGTGTTCTCAGTATAATTTCCCAGCTGGGGTGTTTCTGAAAATAGACAGGTGAGACTCAGCGGTCTAGGCCTGGGACAAGCTGCCATAGGTTAGTATGAATGACCCTGATTCTGACCATTGACACCTGGCGGAATTGTCATACAATGTAAAATGTTGGCACTTGGTAGATTGACAGAAAATACCTAACAGAAAACACCTTCCTCTGGCATACATCCACATCTGTAAAGGTCAAACCTTACCGGCTAGCGTGCGAGTGTTTTCTTAGCTCCTTACTGCTCAGTAAGCCGCTTCTGGGTAAACCGTTCTCCATCACTCATCCAGTGTGGTCTTGAATGCCACTACGATGGTGCATTTGACCACGTGTTCTGGCAGCAAATTCCACAGTGGGATCACCCTGTTGGTGAAAAAACTTGCCCGGAGTTGCAGCCTACTGTGATTACACTGGAGTCTGAAGCTATGCCCCCTGGTGCCACTTTTCAGGATCGCAGAGAATAGTTCCTCGCTTTTGATGCCCGACAAACCGTTCATTATTTTGAACGTTTCAATTAAGTCACCCTTCATGCGTCTGCGTCAAAGAGAAAACAAGTTTAAGTCCTTAAGTATGTCCTCGTAATCCTTGTGGTTCTGACCACATACCATTCGGGTGGCTTGCCGTTGGACTGTCTCCAGGCAATCTAGGTACTTCTGTAAGTATGGTTCCCATGCCTGGACACAACACTCTAGATGTGGCCGGACGACAGCATTTTACAGCGGGACCGGAACCTGCGGGTCTCCACAGGACATCGCAGCCTTTATCCTAAAGAGTCCGCCCCTAGCCTTATTGGTTGACGCTATGCATTGCCTGAAGGGCTTTAAGTCCCTAGGGACCACCAACCCTACGTCCTTGGCATGCGTAACCTCCATCAACTGCCGTATCTGATCAGGGATGTCGGCCCTTCTTGCCCCTAGCCGTTGACCTTTGGCTAGGTTTGGCGGNTCCCACTTACGTGACCAATATAGTATGGCTTCAATGTCTTCATCCAGGTCTGCGCCGGCCACCTTCACATCGTCAGCAAACAGGTAGCACGGGTTCCGCAGCCCCGACGGTAGGTCGTTGATGAAGATGAGGAAGAGAAATGGGCCCAGTTCAGACCCACTGATCACATCTGCTGGATCTTTAGTGCACGTGCCAACTTTTATTCTGAAGGTCCTCTCCATGAAGAAGTTATTCACCCAGATCCGGGCC